GTGGCCTTGGGAAGAATGAATCTTCATACAATAGGATTTCCCAAAATACCAACCCCGCAATAATTCCACCAAATCTGTTATGTACCAATTATCTGGATGCAAAACGCAGTCGAAAATAAATTTCTTCAACGTCCAATCAATTAGCCAAAATCAGTAGATACTTACGTGTCATCCACATTTCGAATCAGTGAAGAATCATAATATTCCAAAAAGAGCTAATACCAAAGGGCAGAGAAATGAAAGAAAATTTTGAATTATCTCGTTTCATTTTCTGTCATGATTTCATATAATATTAAATGAAAGTCTCCGTAACGGCAGAGCTCATCCCTGGGTTGCCACTCTGGAAATAATCTAGTTAACGATGTGAAATGTATTAATTATTCAAATGTCTTCTTTACCCAAAGTTTAACATGAAAATTTGGATTTAAATGGTTGGTGAATGTGAAGGATGAGAATTATATCTTGTGCAGTATATATTTAGACAATGCGAATTAAGTTACCTCGAATAGTATCTTCTGTAGAACAGAACATAATTTGGAATACATAACGATGATTTGTTCCGCAAAATTCAGAACTTGATTCAATTAGAGTCATGTAAATGGAAGTAATGATTCGAGCGGTACTTTGAATAACTCACTCTTTTCGACATTATTTCAAAACTTGTCGGGGAAAAATATATGAACATGATACTAGTGAATCCGGTGATAGAAGACAAAATTGGAATTGAAGGGGTTATATTTTTAGGAGTGATTAATTTTTTTTTTGGGAAAGAAACTCATTCAAAGTAGAACTCATGTGAATGATATCTGATTCTTATTCCACAACAAATGTTTGAAATACAAACTGAGTAGAGAAAAGTATCTTCTGTATTTTTTTTTTCGTGTAATTCAATGTTTATATGGGACTAGCTGTTTCAGGAGGACTTTCTTTCAGTTTGTGTCTGAAAGTTACTTCTTTGCATGATCTACACATTCATGTATAGAGTTTCAAATTGATTACTTCCTTCCTTTCTTTGGAAAATTCTCTCATCCTTTTTTTTTGTATCAGATGGAGTAGTAGAAAGCCAAACACTTTCTTTCCCAAAAAAAAAAGACAAAATTAATTTTTGAAAATCTCTGAGTAGATACTCGCATTTCAGCTACTAATAAAATTGTGAGAGGTGATTTTTGGAAATCCATGTTAGAAAGGTTGCAAAATTCACCAAAGTCGAAAACAATTTGAATTTCTATATGTTCTATAAGTTTAAGGCCATTAATAACAAATATTAATTCTGGTATCAACATTTCGTTAAATATGAAAACAAATAAAATTCCTCAGGAAAGGAGGTAATATTGTTGGGATGTAAGATATCTCAATAATTTTTGAACAAAGAAAAGACAATTTGAAGACAAAATGAATATTTTTGTGTTGAAGAGCCGCTCATATGACTAGAGACTACTTGTTTCATTATGAGAGATTTCGAAAATCTAGAAGAAATCTCATGATATCAAATTGATGATGAAAATCCGTGATAGAGCTCATGTCAAATACCTTAGAATAGACAGCAGCCGCTAGACAGTACTATGTAACTTTACGCAACTACATCAATGACGCAGTAAAATGTGAAAAAACAGCATATACATAATTTGTTTTGAACAAAAATAAAAACAATTGACAACAATGACATGGAGAAATCTTGCAGATTAGGGTGTTACTACAAAATCATCCTCGCAAACCAATAGCCTGCCAATTGAACTACGTTGACCTGAAGAAATCAATGGCAATGGCTGGACATTCAATAGTAAATAATGACACTCTTTCATTCTACAATAATAATAAATTGTACGCTCCTATGAACTTTTCCCTCACCGATATATGTGATGATGATATTTTGACTGTTATCAAAGAAATAAAATCTAATGCGTTAGGTATTGACAATATAAATATCAAGATGATTTTTATATAATTCCAATTCCGAAAAAGAATGCAACTACCACGTTCAGTGACCTACGCCCTATCAGCATTCTGCCCTTATTCTCTAAAATATTCGAGAAAAATGTTTCCCGTCAAATAAGAGCTTTTCTTGAAGGAAATCGAATACTTCCGTACGAGCAGTATGGGTTTTGCAAAAACACGGAACACAAACTGCCCTCTTGAAAGTAATAGACGATCTTGCGAGATTCAGAGATCGAACAAAAGTCACCATTTTAGTACTGCTTGATCAAAGTAATGCTTTCGATTTAGTTAATTTCGATTAACTCATCAGCAAGCTCAAGTTCATATGATTCGATGACATTTCTCATAAATGGATGACCAGCTATCTCACAGGCCGATCACAGAGGGTCAAACTGGATGGTTACTCATGGTCATCCCTGGAAGAAACAATCTCAGGTGTACCGCAGGGAAGTATTTTAGGACCCTTGATGTATTCAGTATTCATTTTTTATTACCCCACTTTCTTATCACATTGGCAAGTACATCTATACGCAGATGATATACAATTATATTTGTCTTCTCATAACACCGATACAAAAAGTTGCGTGGCCAATATAAACACAGATTTGCACAAAACATTCCTATACTCGGAGAATCATGGACTGAAAAACAATCCAAATAAAACTTTGGCCTTATGCATAGGGTCTCAAAGACAAATAGTAAAAACTCAATGTAACTTTAGACTCACTCTCGATAACGCAGACATTGACTGGGTAGACAGTGCTAAAAATCTTGGCGTACCCATAGATAGCTCTTTGTCTATCCATGAACATGTGACAAACATTTTCAAAGTATCATTCTTCAAACTCAAATCGCTATATAAATTCGAGTATCAGTTATCAGAAGAAATGAAACTCAGGTTAGTTAAAACTCTTATTTACCCCCATATCGAGTATTGTTGTTCGGTGTATTACAATTCTTTGCTGCAATATAATGAACAGAAGTTACAATGAATACAAAATGCTTGCATGCGATTCGTATGCTGTATACCATATGTAAACATGTCACCCTATTTTTGTTAAAAATGGAGGAGCTGAATGTGAGGTACAGAGTCCAATATTTGATAAAAATGTTTTGTTTAAGTTTCTTCAAACTAAAACACCTAGTTATTTATATGGGATTGAAAACACAAAAATAAGGGGGAAAAGTCTCAGTATGGTGTGTTCATACTTTCCAGCAATACTCTAAAGGGCATACACTTTTTCAAATGTTTTTGTCTGTAAAACGTCAAGTAGTTGGTTTTTGGTATGGTCATCTTCAAAATACAAATTGTTATCCATTAAAAAATTTCGTCGAATTTCAATTCGGTACTTTGATGAGCTGTCACAAATGATAGAAAGCGTTGCTATATGCATCCAAATTTGGGATCATTGTATTTTCAAACCATTGCTCGAAAATATTAGCTTCCAAATTCTTATGATAGTCAGCATTGCAGTCGTCGGGTTTTTTCCACATAATTTCAAAAAATTAGGAACACATCCTTTACTTCCTCCGCAAAACACAATGATTAGTCGCGATCCTTCATTTGCAGGCATGTTAGGCGTACACATTCTCGAAACATCAGTCTACCCTTCCGTAACTGTGTCGTGAGTGTCATACCAAGTTTCGTCCAAATAGAAAATTTGCTGTTGCTCTCGTCTATATTTAGTTCTAAGTATTTGTTACGCAATTATACTATTCCTCTGCTTTCCATAACTGCTTGACGTTTGTTTATTATTTCAAATCTAAATCCTAGTTTCATTATCCAATTCTAAAGAGTTTTGTCAAAGCAGTTCACGTTATGGCCGGAAGTATTTAATTTCTTCCTTATGATTTCAGTTGTAGGAATCTCATTGCTTTCGTAACAATCGTATATGGTTTTTTTCAATGATTTCATTAGATGAACATCTAAAGGTTTTGGTAATCCTGTACCACATCGCGTCTTGCGTTCATAAGGTTTATTTTTGACTATTTTACGTACAGTTGAGAAAAGAATCTCGGTAAAATTTTATGTTGGTTGTAATAGTTTTTTTCCCTCAAAGTCAAACTTGAGATGTAGATTCTTATATACATTGAAACATACTCTCTGTGTTTGTTTCAATATTCAAATGCATCGGAATCTTATTCACTGGTATCTCTTTTTCGCATTGTTCACCATCGCTATCGCAATCACTACACTGAAAAAAGTCTGCGTTGTTATCACACCCGTTGTTACAATTAGTACTTGTTCAAGAACGCCACATTTTGAACAGATAACAAAAATTGGCAGTAATTATAACTGCATCAATATCGAAATCCAACACTCAAATCGCGATCAATTCCTGAAGTGAACACGATGGCGATAACCATCCCCGCATTCCTGATTTCTATTCGTCACCGTAACATGACTTCAAATTTGATTTTATAACTCTTCAGCTAATCATAAAACTCGGTTAGTAAAAATTATCCAATACGAACCGGCAAGTCTACAGTCCAGTATTGTTTTTTTGGCATTTGAGAGTGCCATACATTTAAGAGTTGCTTCGACTATAATGAATTCTTATTGTCGAAATTCTCTTTCGCTCCGTATCTTTGAAACAAAGCGCCCTATCAAATATCCTTTGAATAATCCAAGAAGTAGTCCCCCAATTTTTTTCCGCATGTTCAATAAACAACCTGTATAAATTAGTAACTGAGATATTATTACAAATTAACACTATACTGAAAAATCATTTGATGAATCGAATTTGATAAGATACATACATAATAAATACGCGAAACTCAGATGTAAATTTCAATCTTTATCGTCTCCTTATAATGTTAATTTGGTAAGCGCAGTCAAGGAAGTGTTTTTCTGATATAGAAAATGTATTTTCTCAGATCCCTTCTACGCAAGAGGCTCCAATTCTCTCTATCATATTTCGATTTTGCTTTGCACTCCACCTTGAAAGCATTTCGGTTCCGTGATTTTCTACTTTGTTCATTTTCCTGCATATATTCAAACTTCAAGACAACGAAAGTCTGAACCTACAACGCTCAGCGTTATATTGACGCTATTCTATTTCCAGGCCTTTGTGGAAAGTAATAAAAGCATCAAGTGGTGTCCAATAGCTGGCTGTGGGAGGGCAGTGAGGCTTCCAGAAGCAGAACAAACGATTGCAGACGGTGTAGGAGGTAGAAATGTTAACAAGAAAACACTGCCGGTAACATCACATGCCGTCGATTGTGGAAACGCACATTTTTTCTGTTGGGAATGCTTGGGTGAGCAATTCTATGATTTTGTATGCACGAGAAAATCACTTTTATGCATTACAGATCACTCCGATATTATTTTCGTTCTGATATGTTGTGAAGAACGAAATCGATAGATATCGATTACATTGATTTCAAATTTGAAACAGATAAATGTTCATTTCACCACTCTTGTTGAAGTTTATTCCTTCAGTTTAACGGTTTCTCATTACAGGAGAAGCCCACGCTCCGTGTGGTTGCAAACAATGGCAGGAATGGCAAATAAAGATCAACGAAGTTAAGCCTGAAGAACTGAAAGCTTCCTGTAGTGGTACTGAAGACGCAGCAAATTGTCTTTGGTTGGTTACGAATTCGAAACCTTGTCCCAACTGTAAAAGTCCCATTCAGAAAAATGAGGGCTGCAATCACATGAAGTGTTCGAAGGTAAAATAATATCTCATCCTTATATTCAATATTATGAACGCATGAGTGTTTTGATACCATCGAATCAAAACCAAGGAATAATCGAAACTGATAACAATGATTGCTGAAGAAATTATAGCGTTGAAGCTTCCATTTCCTTGGTGATTCGATTCTACCGACTGCGCCAATTTCAATGATATCAATGTTTTTCCTATTCTAGTGTAAATTTGACTTTTGTTGGGTCTGTCAAGAATCATGGAAAAGACACAGTTCTGCTACAGGTGGTTACTTTAGGTGTAATAGATTCGAAGCTGTGCATAAAGCAGATGAGAAACAAGGTTCCCTCATAATAGAGGCGATGGACAGAAACAATCAAATGCAAGAGATGTCTCGTTTTTTACATTTTTATACTAGATTTCGGAATCATGAGAATAGCCAAAAATTAGAGGAACCACTTCTCACTGGCGTCAGGCAGAAAATGGAGGTTTTGGCTACTAGTTTGGGAATGAAAAAGGGTGAAGGTCAGTATTGAGTCTAATGTGATTGAGAATAGATATGTATAACAACTCATGTGTTGCTTTCGAATACATTTATCTTCATGTGATCCATCCATGATCTATTTCCAACCCGTGATTATGAAGATAAGAAGATAATAATGAATCTTGAAATATATTTTCAGTTCTCATTCAAAAATTGTAATGATTCAAACATCATTGATTTTAGATACTGGTGACAAAGGCACAAAATTTATTGAGGATGGAGTGAGAGAGTTGCTGAAAGCTAGAAGAGTTCTTTGTGGTTCATATGTTTATGGGTATTATCTGGAGGATGATGGATACAACAAATCCATTTTCGAGTTCATGCAGGTGAGTTGTATCATGCCTGAGGTTTTTTGAACAAGTAATATGCTGAAATCAAGCGTGGACAAGTTCACAACCTTTCTTTAATAATCCAGACTACCAAGGCTAAATCGATGGGTACGATGAGAAAGAGCTACTCTTTTGAATGAAGGCGAACTGCCATGCCAAATGGTTCAGTCTTCATACCAAACTAATGAGATTACATGGCATGTAGCTCTGTTTCAGCTGTAAATTTCTCTCGAAAATTCTGAAAGTGGTTACCAAATGTGTTGCTGCGATTTTAGAGGAGAACGTGGGGCTGATAAAAAAATGTAACAGTTTTTATTGCCAAGACTGTGATTGAGTATTTTTTAAATTTCCCCACAGATCCTAAATGAGATGATAATTATCATTTTTATATCTTTACAGGCAGACAATGAGGCCAAGTAGTGTTTCTATGACAATTCATTTAGGATATATTTGTTTTTCATTTCATCATGTTATATAATCTATATTCAGGGACAGACGATTCTCTCATAGAACAGTATTATTTTTTTTCGGGACATATTATACTTTATAAGGCACATTGAAGGAGTTTTTGAAAACTTATATTTTTTTGATTATTAATCTTCCAGAAAAATTATGAAAGTTTGAGTTGCTTCAGTTAATGAATCGTTTGTGAGATATTCGTTGGCTGCCCTCAAGGTGGGGTACTATCCGTGTTAAGAATCACACGTTAAAATGTAAAACCTCGTTCATCCTTAGCTCGCACAAATTTCGACTTCTCAGGGTTGTCGTTCGTAGGGGTGCGGCAGCTGTTTAACAGAAAAACAGATTTTTCAAACAGATCTCCCTTCTGCGGTCGCTCCTGATGTATAGTCTGTTTGATGTCCTCAACAGAAGAAAAATAGATCTGCAAGCTCATGCAGATGACCTTTTTATCTTGGCAAGGTCCACGTCGGGAAGGGTAGCTAGTAATATCCTCCAAAGCACGATGGACGTTGTTCACAGTTGGTGCCTGAGGGAAGACATGTCTGTCAATCCCAGCAGAAATGTGATAATCCCCTTCACCAGGAGGAGAACATTAATTAGACGATCTAACGCCACTTTCCCTCAATGGTGAGGTCATTCCATTTGAAACGAAGGTGAAATATCTTGGCATTTTCCTTGATGAAAAACTCACCTGGAACGAATCTATTGGGTTCATTCCCAAATATATGATTGGATCACTTATGATACAATTGCCTGGTGGTCGGAGGCTTTACAGAAAACGGTCCAAGCGAACCTCTCTGGCTTACAAAGATAGCCTTTTCTGGCCATAAATACCACACCGTCAGCGGCCATGGAGATCCATCTAGATCTTCCTTCTCTCCTCATTTTTCTGGAGAGAGAGGCTAGATAGGCTACATATAGACTTGTGCACATTGCCAGTTGTATAAATCATTTTCATGCTGCTGCAAGCAGCTTCATCGGACCAGAACCTGTCATTGGCATAGCTTTGGGCTTTGCCAAACAAAGATTGAATACCTGGATGACAATATTTTTGGACTTCTGGCAAAATCTTCCAGAATTGGCTCACTCCAAGGCGTTTATTCACCTTTCGAAGCTTGATACCAAACAGTTGTTGGACTACAGTAGGGATAAACTACGATACTTAACAGGCCTTCTTACAGGTCACTGTTATTTGAATCATCATATGCAGAGACTCGGGCTGTCGGAAGACAGCCTCTGTTTGGAAAATGATGAAACAGCGGAGCACATACTTTGCACCTACCCCGCTGGGGACCGACTAAGGTTTTTAGAGTTCGGCAGAGCCGTACTCTCATCGTCTGACCTGAAAGATCACTCACCGTACAACCTAATCGATTTCGTTAAGAGGCTGGGTTTATTTGGTCGATTGTGAATAGGTGTGACCCACAATAAACCCTTGCGGGTTACGATGGAGGGTCGAATAGACCCACTCACTTTGGACCTAACCTAACCTAACCTATATAATCTATATTTAGGAACAGACGTTTTTGTTTTATGAAACAGTATTATTTTAGTCGGGACTTATTATAGTGTGGTATATTAATGAGGCTCATCGAAGGAGTTTTTGAAAACTTATATTTTTGGTATAATTGATCTTTAAAACAAATATGAAAGTTTGTGTTCCTTCAGTGAATGAATCATTCGTGTGATATTTGTATTTCTTTATAATTGAAGCGAATTCATAACTTTTCCACCGAAGTAGATATTATATAGAAAAATAAAGACAAGTTTGGAGCTTCATCAGCATTTTCGTTCTCCTCTATCATAATTATATAATTGCACACACATGAATTATCCATAGTATGTAACTCTATGTTTCAGAATGAATTGGAAGAAGTTACTGAAAAATTAAGTGAAATGATTGCTAGGCCATATTTACGTACACCCAAGGCTGTGATAGTACAAACTTCTGCCCTAGCAAGAAGAAAAAGGCACGAGTTTGTTAGAGCTGTAGCTCAGGGCTTAATCCCTCCCGAAACCCCACCTTTACAGAGAAAAAGAAAGAAAAGATATCTTGATGTAAGTGAGAAATAGCAAATGCAAAGTTATTTCACAATTCATGAGATTGTCTTCCATATTGATTTTTTTACTATTAACTGAAATTTGTTTTTCTTCAGTCAGATCTTTCTCAAACTTGCGCATGGTTGAAAGACTGCGAATGGCCTGAATATGACACTGACGAAGAGACTGACTTAAGCGTAACTCACAAGAGCGTTTCCCATACACATGTATCACCAACGAAGGAACATCAGTGCGGTCTACTCTGCAGCAGAAGTTGTGGACGTAAGTAGCTTGATGGCCAGAAACATACACAGTGTTATATAAGATGTTATAGTGGAAGGATTCAAGTGTAATTTTCTGCAATATCAATGTTTTAGATAATAATGAATCAATTCTTTCTTTTTTCACTCTTAGGGGAAAGAAAAACAACGACAGAAATTGAAGCAAAATCTATTTGGAGAGATGAATTCATTTAACGGAATAGGTCAAAACTCGAAGACCATTCTCTAATTGAAATATTTATAGGTTAACTCAGTTTGAAGTGTTTCAAGTTGCATCTCTGTAGTCTGAAATATTGGAACCCATTGAATATTTCCCCCAATGGTCGCTCTTAGGAAAACACAAATGGGCTGTTTTCGTCAAACATTATTCATTGAAGTATTCCTGGAAAAAACTTCCTAAATCCAAGAATTTGAGTACTCTAAACTTCAAAGTCATTTGTGATATTCAAATCATCAGGTCTTCAGGTTTGGCTTCGGTACGATTTTATGTTAGCAATATTCCAACGACAGTTTTTGGAACGATTTTTTTCCACTGTCAGAAAGCAGAATTTTTGAAGACGACCTCTTGAACGAATATTTTCCTGGGCAAGAACGTAGTTTGACAAGCTACTCTTACCCGAATGAGAGCTTACATTCCTTATAAAACCCTACAATGTTCACAAAATGAGCAAAACGACTTGGGGCCTCATATACGTGTAATGTTCAGGAAATAAAGTAGATGTTCAAATTTTGCGAGCTAAGTATATTCAATAGGCGATTTTTTTATGTTGGTACAACGTTTCGAATATATGTTCAGTTTCAGTGGTTTGGCATGTTCAGTTTGTTGGTGAGAGGCATAAAAGTTTGAAGTGTTTGGCGTATTTGTGCCATAGAAAAAAATATATCAAAGAAATTGCCTCATATTTTGTGTGAGGAATAGAATTGAGTGCTGAAAAACACTCAAAATATTGACAGTGGCATACGGTGATTGAGCTGAGAAAAATTATTTGCCATCGATGAAAGCATTTCAATTTTTTGGAAAACCGCATGTTTCTTTCCAGGTTCTGACTACAACATGGAACTGATCATCGCCCTAGAAATGTCTCGCCTTCAGATGATAGAAGACAGAATGAAACAAGCTCAATCCCAAACCCAAGGTAACAACGCCATCACCCCAGACCCCAGTTCAAGCATATCTAACAACAGCAACGAGAGCACAGATGACCAGTTGAAGCTTGCGATTCAGCTAAGTTTGCAGGAATCTACTGCTGCCATCAGCAAGCAAATGAAAAGCGAGGAAAATAGGGGAATGCAAAGGACAAACGCAGAGATCACCGTGGATTATTTCCTGAAGTCTTTGGCCAATCACAAGATCGACTTGAAATCGCTGGATAGGTTGGGAAACGAGGGGGAGAAGGAGTTGTTCTTCAGGCCATGTAGAGGAAATGAGGATGGTAGATTTCAGATATCGGATATTCACGAGAATGGTGAGTTGAAAAATCCAATGGAGCTCTTTCAGTTATCATCAAACTGAAAAAATGTTACTCATATTACTTTATGATTTTCTATGATACATGAAAGCAAATTCATCGTTATTTTGAAATGATAGTTATTCCATGAAAGGGATTACCATACAGTTCTAACCAGCATTCAATAGTAACAAACAAGGTTTTTCAAGTCAAATCTCTTATGGGGATCCTGAATCGATTAACGGAAAAACAGTTTTTGTCAGACAGATTGATTTGAGACAGAGTTGTTCATTTAAAGGTACTACTACGTAATATTTTAGTGGACTTTCAAAATATGTATACCACTTATCAACTCAGCTCATTGAAAATTTCTTCATCAGTAGAAAATGAAATCCATTAACATCTGCATGAATCATGAAAGAGATGATTGAAAATGAATAGTTTGTAAAATCCAACAAGTCATTCACAGTCATCAGTTTCGAGAGTTACTTACATCTTACTGGAGGGGCTTGAAGGCTTCAAATTAGAAGAATAATTCCATTTACAGGATGAAAATTCCACTGTCCTGGTTTCGTTCACTTCGTTAGTTGTCTCATCTCCTTGGAAAATGTATACTATAGTCTTAGACAAAACTTCAGGCATAACCTGCAGACTGGAGCCAATAAACTCGGAAAATAGCTCCGACAGAGTCACCTCCGGTCATGAAAATTTACACTCTCCGAAACTAACACTGTTTTTATCGCAGTGAAAAATTCACCCCAAGTATGTCGCGGAAGGTCATAATCTAGTTGAACCAAATCATCCGATATTTTACGAAAATCCATCCAATTAATACCAGGTCCGCAATAAGTGAGTGATGATTTAAATGATAGTCATCAAATTGTACCAAAGAGAACAAGTCTCATTAAAATGTCAAATGATCGGGTGTCCGAATTGAGCGTTCCCTGATAGTAATATTGTCAAAAGTTCATTCAAATAAATTTCCCAATATTTCATCAAAACATGAAGTGAAATATCTAATTCCGAACTTTACAGTCTTTCCATATACAGTGTAACCCATCCAAAATGGAAACATCTGTATATAAAAGTTATACTTGTCAACCTGTTGGAATAATTTTTTTCTCATTACTCATTAGATAGACATTGAAAAATCTGCTACAACACCAAATTTCAAGAATGAGTCATGGTTTTCAAGGCTATTTTTTATTATTTTTCAAGGTTGAAAATCGTAGAAAAATATCAATCTGGGTACATCAACAAAGGATTCACGTCGCTTCGAAATAATTCGAATGAAAATTACATCGAAATACGTCCTTCATTGAGAACATTATAAGGCAATAAAAAATAAAAAATATGTCAATTACTTGTCTTACCAAGTCAATTCTACAACTTTCATCAAAGCTCTGACTAGTCCTCTGAATTTCACCAAAATCTATTAATCATTAGAAAAGTTATGAATAATTTGGCATATTGAATTATATATTTTCTGTTAGTCATAAAGAAACAATGACCAGATTTCGCTGAAACTGAATATATAGTGATGATATTTTGAATTCAGTGAAATAGCGGAATTTTGATGAAAGTTCTCAAACTAAATTATTGGAATCATTCAACGTTATATTTTTCAAATGTTATTCCCTCATAAGTGTTCTGATGACACACATTTTAGCGTAATTTTTAAATAATCTGTGGAATCACAGGTTTTGTGCTTTGGTGTGAAAATTTTGATAATTAGGTAATAAATCAGTCACCACTTTCTACGAATATTCACAACACTTTGATGCCATAAACAGTTGAGTACCTGATTTGATATTTTTCATACCTCTCAATACATTATTTATGACGTAAAGGTGCCTTTTGCTCAGTACGATTCGCGCGTCAATCCTCCAACGTCTGACGTACAACTTCTACACGTACGGGCGTAACGTAAATATGATCGTCAGTCTTTACCACACGTCACAACACTGTGCGTCAGTCGTTACTCCCATATACTTTGAAAATGTTGTGTCATGGCTCCTTCATTTGCAGACATAGAAGTTGAGTGTTATATCGCTCCTTTCTCTTTATAAAAGTTCCTAAGTATGTTGTCGTTGTCATCTTCCATCTCTTCTAATGATGAATAGGGTCACTCTAAGTCTACTCAACGTCAAACACATCAATAAAGAGGATACTTTGTGATGCACTGTTTGGAACCTTTGGTGTAGAGAGAGGAAGATCAAAATCTCTTGAAGAAACACGTGTCGAGGTTTTAAAAATAACGGTTTGGTGTTGACATAAAACTCCAGTAATATTCAATAATTACGATAAACACACAACTATAACGACGGAAATAATAAAATCAACGATGACTCTCTACTATGACGATGTCACCTCGACTGAATGCACGCACTTTTTGACACCGTTCAATCACAAGCATTTTAAGCAAAAAATCACACAAACGATAGACGTTCAACGTGTAGACATTGTACGATTGACGTATGAACCGAATCGAGCAAAAATCACCTCTGGATGAAAGATCTCGAGATTTTGATAGTGGTTTTTTTCGGATGTTTCCGTTTCGATTTCAGGATTCGCTTTTGAAGATATGGATGACTACGACACTGACGTTCGTCTTAAACGTTCTCATTCGACGGGAGATCTGTGTGTTCGAAGAAATGGTAGAGGTACTAGAATAAGGACGAATGCCGACGAACCCAGATACCATCTAGATTCTGACCACAGTAGTCAGCACGATGACAAGCCGGAGGATATGGTAATGCAAATTATACACCTCGAGTTTTGAGTTTCAGATTTTTGAACATTTGTTATTTTTTGGTTTTGCATCGTAATCACATTTTTGTGTTCTGAGGGGCTAGTGTGTTCCTTCAATATCAGGCAGTATTTCCTCTATACGAATCATATTCTGGAATAATAAAAAAAAATTGATAGTTAATGATTACATGTACGTTATCACTGTTATCAAAATATTTTGTTGACAGGTTAGGTTAGGTCTAAAGTGAGTAGGTATATTCGACCCTCCACCGCAATCCGCAAGGGTTTATTGTGACTCACACTTATTCACACTCGACCAAATAAACCCAGCTTCTCAACAAAGCCGATTAGTTTGTATGGAGAGTGATCCTTCAGGTCAAATGATTTGAGTACGGCTCTGCCGAACTCTGAAAACGTGATTCGGTCCCCAGCGTGGGAGGCACAAAGTATATGCTTTGCTGTTTCATCATTTTCCAAACAGAGGCGGACACACACTGTCTTCCGGCAGTCCGAGTCTCTGCAAATGATGACTCAAATGACAGAAACCTGTAAGAAGGCCTGTTGGACATCATAGTTCATTCCTACTGTAGTCCAACATCTGTTTGGTTTCAAGCTTCAAAAGATGAATAAACGCCTTGGAGTGAGCCAATCCTGGAAGATTCTGCCAGACGTCCATGAATCTTCTTGCCATCCAGATGTTCAATGTTTGTTTGGCAGAGCCTAAAGCGATGCCAATGACAGGTTCCGGTCCGATGAAGCTGCTTGCAGCACCCTTCTCTGCAAGGGAGTCAGCAGCCACATTGACAGCTAGATATCTCTGTCCTGGGTCTGCGACTAAAAACACCTGCACCATAACCGGAAGGTGTTTTTGATCCATCTGTGAACCAACAACTATCTGCTCTTAATATTTCCTTTTCCCGGAGGATCCAGTCCTCTCTACTCGGGAACAGATAAGGCAGTTCGTAGTTGACAGTTTGAGGCATAAAGTCAGAGGTCATTCCAGAATGCTGTGACTTCCAGTGTCAACCAACAGTCTGTTGCACTCTGCATTAAATCGATTTGTGCAATAGGCAATGTGAACAAATCTGTATGCAGTCCGTCTAGCCTCTCTCTCCATAAAAATGTGGAGAGGAGGTAGATCTAGCCGCTGACGGTGTGGTACCACTAATAGCCAGACAAGCCTGTGTCTGTAAGATAGAGAGTTTCGCCTGGGCCACCAGGAAATTGCACCATAAGTGATCATCGGTCTGACAATCATCACATAAATCCAATGGATTTGTTTGGGACCTGAGTTTTACCACAAATCCTTCGACATGTCCATAGAGACAGTCTGGCTTTGTGTAAAACTCTCCAAGTGAACGTTCCAGGTGAATCTTTCATCAAGGACAATGCCAAGATATTTCACCTCCGTTCCAAATGGAATGACCTCACCATTGAGGAAAAGTGGCATTAAATCGTCCAATTTTATTCTCCAGGTAAAGGGGATTATCACAGTTTTGCTGGGGTTGACAGACATTTGCTCCCTCAGGCACCAACTGTAAACAACGTCCAACGTGCTTTGGGGGATATTACAAGCCACCCTTCCCAACGTGGACCTTGCCAAGATGACAAGTTCGTTTGCATGAACTTGCAGATCTGCATCAAGCAGACTATCCATCAGGAGCGACCATAGAATGGGAGATAGTACTTCACCTTGAGGGCAACCTCTGGTGACCCTGAACCTAATGGCCTGGCCTTGAAGAGTCGTAGTTGCAGTTCTGTTTACCAGCATGGCATAGATCCAGCCATTTTAGGTCGATTCGATACTTTTTCTAGCCAAAGACGATCGTATAGATTCAGGAAGTGCATTGTCAAATGCTCCTTCAGTATCAAGAAATACTGCAACCGCAATCTCCTTGTCGTCAAGGGATTGGGAGATTTTCTCTTCAAGGTTCTTCAATGCTAAATCAGTCAATTTGCCGGTTTGATAAGCATACTGGTGGTTATTCAGGAAAGCATTTAATGATCACCTCCTGGTGTGTCCGTCCAGTATCTTCTCAAGTCGTACCGATTTAGGGTGTGGGTCTCTCTGACCCATTTTAGGTATATATACTGTTCTGTTCACAGGTAAGAAGATTATTAGCACTGCCCTCTACTTCTGTACGCACAAAACAATTTCTGCTACTGCATACTTCTTATCCGGAGGAGGAAAGTTATCATGGTCAAAGTTCAGTGGAAGATACGACTACATCTGATTCTATGAATGCTGACATGGAAGTTTGTGGAATATTGAATTCTATAACGGATGAAGACTTAGGTAAATTGAATATTCCTTTCACAATCACGACTGAATGAATATTACTCAAACTTTTTTTGGTCCCTTCTAGGTAGTAAGAGTTACGATGAAGAAATCAAAAAGACTGAACAATCCGCCAAAATCACCGATTGCAAGAAACAAACACACAACCCTTTTGCCACCCTAAAAGCTAAATTGTGTTCAGCGCACCTACCCAAAACTAGCTACTTAACAAAGATTGCTGTGAATAAAAGTCTAGGTCTCCTGGGCGAGAATAAATCCAAAAAATGTTGTGGAAACAACGACAAGGATTGTCGTGAGGATATTAAAGGAAACTTAGAAGAAGGAGAGTGTAGTACGATGAGGAAATATGTAGTAGGAAGTGAATGCAAGAGTGAGAAACATAGTCCCAAGAAACATCAGAAAAGCTGTAAAAGGAATAGTTTCTCAAAGTCTACCGGATTCCTTTTGGAGGAACAAAGAAAAGCCTGCAGAGGTATATATTTATATTTTAGTGATATCAATATCTTAGCAATAATTGTATCGGAAAGAAACATCTGCGTGTAATGTACATATTTTTGATCTAAACAAATGAACTCTAAATGTTCAAGCCCGTCTCGGATATACCTACACTGTAGTTTAATGTACTGACACCCATCAGAAAACAACAACTCCCCTAGCTAATACCACGAAGGACGTTGGATTATATACGACAGGTGTCAGTGCAGGATTCTTCACTGAAGTTATTCTTGCATATGCGTTTGACAATACAACTACCGCAACAGATTCAATTATTGGAACACACTTGCAGACGGGTTTCGGGCTGTTTGGACACTCGTCAGTGCAAGGTAGTGTCTATCATCAACGTAAAGTCGATGATTTCCAATAATAGAAAATCGAATTCCTTCAGAGTATTATTCCTCGAACTAGGCTGAAGCGGATAATAAACAACAGGTTTGTCATCGCCACATCAACCCGTGAACGAGGTAACCAACCGCATATCCGAAATCTGTCCAATTCCTCGTATAAGGAAAGAAAACTTTTGGAATATAGTCAGTTGACATCCTCATACGAAAAATTGGGCAAGTAGGGCGATGACAAACTTGTTGTTTGTTATCCGCTTCGGCCTGGTTCGAAAAATGATACTCTGAAGGAATTTGATTTTCAATTTACGAAAATCATCGACTTTATGTTGAAGTCTTATATAATCCAACACCCTTCGTGGTATTAGCCAGGGGAGTAGTTGTTTTCTGTGAGTGTCAGTATATTAACCTACAATGTAGGAAGTTGAGAGTGGCCTGAACTAATTGTTCCTTTTTCAAATTAGACTTTTGAGCAATTTTAAATTTCTCACTTTTTTCATTTTGCTCAGAAAAACTATCTGAAACATATTTTTTATTTGTGGATGCTTAAGTTCTTTAAGTTACTGAGTGATTTCACAGGTCTTTCTTCAAATTTGCGGATCAAAATATGCAAGAGCCCTCCCAAAAAGACTGAACAATCCGCCAAAATCACCGATTCCACCTCTGATGAAATCATTAAATATTACATTTCTCCAAAGTCAGCCTCCTGAAACGGAATCCTATATCTTAACTTATAGGCTAACATTAGAAAAAATCATTCAGTCATTCTTCCAGGTTTCCAAAATCCTCAACAGATGGCGCCCTCAGTTCTGTCCTTCACGTCCAACAATCCAATTTGAGTTCCGACGACTTCCATGAAGCACTGTTCCTCCTTGAGAGATCTCCGAAAACCAGGGACTCCAAACGGAGGAAGAAATCGAAGAAAAAAGACAAAGAAGAGAAAAAAGAAGATCAAAGTTCCATTTTGTAATACAAAAAGACTGTTATATCGTAAAACTTCTGTGAAAGCGAATCGAATATGCGTCTATGTGATAAACTTTCGGTAATAATCAAGTGACCAAAATTGAGGACTGCTGTTGAGTAGCTGTAATATCGGAATACGCTTCTTCAAGAAATCTTCAATCAAATTAGTTTTGAAAGCTGAGCTGAACTCAAAAAATTGGTAGTAGTGGGTTATTCACCCGATTATTTCCTTAAAACTGATTAAATAATATAAAACTTGAAATTAACATGTAGAAATCATTCTTGAAACATACACTGCTCTCAGGGCCTAGTTATGTATCCCACAATTTCAATAACTGCCGCTGTCCTAATCAGTTTGAATCAAATATTAAAATATCCTTTTGACTAAATGTCAAAAATTTGCACGAATGCTTCTACAGAAATTCAAATTAATATGAAAGTCAAATGAAACTCAACATACAACGAACATATAAAGAGTGTTTTTCATAGAGGTATTTAACTTTAAGTTGGCAACACTTTTATAACTGGTGGCCATTTTGTCAGCTGTCAAGTGACTTATGTTAAGTTTGGTTTAGCATTTCAAATAGACTGACGCCTAAAGAACGCTTCCCAATTGTACTAATTTAGGTATTTTGGAAAGCATGACTGTACAATGGCAATTCGCATCCATAGAGATGGCGTACAGTGCATACAGAAAAAAGGCATTACTGCTGCATAGCGTAGCGAAACAGTCTATCGTGCACAGGAATTAGATATGTGGTCATCTATTTTATGGAAAATTTCTCGGAAAGATCTTGGTTTGCGTGCTTACAAAATCCAACTCGTGCAAGAAGTGAAGCCACACGATCACCTAGCAAGGCGTAGATTCCGTGAATGGGTCCCAAACAAGGTTGCAGTTGATCTCAATTTTCATATACGAATTTCGTTTAACGATGAAGGTCACTTTTGTTTACATGGATACGTCAATAAACAAAACTGACATGTTTGAGGTTATGATAATCCTCAATTGTATAGTGAGACACCGTTACATCCAGAAAAACTGACTGTTTGGTGTGCTTTACGGACTGGTGGAATCATTGGTCCATACTTTTTCAAAACCGATGTTGGTCATAACGTCACAGTCAATGGTGACCGCTATAGAGCCACGATGTGCAGGAGCTGTGGTTTCAACAAGACGGCGCAACATGTGACACAACTCGTGCAACAATTGATTTATCGAAGGAAACGTTTGGTAGGCGCATAGTGAATTGGTCTCCAAGATCGTGGGATTCAACGCCGTTAGACTATTTTCTGTGGAGATATGTGAAGTCGCTAGTCTACGCCGGTGAGCCCGAAACAATTGACCACTTGGAGGACAAAATTCTCCGCGTTATTGCCGAAATACGGCCACAAATGTTGTAAAAAGTCATCAAAAATTGGACCTCCAGCCGTGACGATTATATGCCAGAAGTCATGTTTTATGACTTTCAATGAAATCGAAAAGAATACGCGACGTATTGATAATACATTTGGCCGCATCAAAGCATAGCCGCATAGATGTCGACATTGCGATCTTATTGTTGGAATATACGAGTCCAGTCTCTGTTCATATATTTCAAACAGACGTTCTTGTTGAAAGTTCTCATAATTCAGGTAAGAAAATTGATTTAATTTAAGAATTTCTATTACGATTTCGTATCGATGTTTTCAGCTGTTTTCAGCTGAAAACAGCTGAATTTCCATTTCTTCGAACCGAAACTTCCTCATTTCTGAGCAACACCAATCGGGCAACCAGCTTTAGATAAAATTACTCATCTAAGGGAATCGTGAAGAGGGAAAATTTTACACCAGATCCACCAACACCAGATGTTTTCCAAACTTGTAACCTATACCCACTGAATTAAAATAATGTTTGCTTCTATCAAACGTAAAACATACGTCTATATACCGTATTTTGTTCTTGTGAAGAAATATTTTTGATAGATTCGTTTTACGAGAGAGGTTCCAATTCTACTCATCAATGTTTGTTATTTGAAAAACAACCTCAGAACTTCTACCCGCAAGTCATGTGAAGTTGATCCCACCATATATGTCGAATTAATTTCGACACAATGTCCGAAATAACTTATTCTCTGCTCTGCTGCATTCCAAAATTCATCTATTGAACTTTTATGATTCACTAAAAATCAAAAATATCAACAATTTCATAATGATGAATTATTTCATCTGTTTCTTGAAGAAGCGTAATCTTCAACTATTTTTTCATATTCTGGACCAGTTGTTCCAAAACTTCTGACCGCAACAACACCTTTTTGGTATTAACTTATAAAATAGTTGGATATCGTTTTAGTTTACAGCATATACTTGTTCTATCTCTACTTATTTTTTATTGTCTTTACATTTTGTATACACTAGATATGATACCCCAGTATTATTTCAATGACTTATACTTATGTCATCTACACATATTCAGTACTACATTAAAGCATCGATAATTTTGTAATGTTACTGGTACCTCAACAACATTTGCTAAAATTCTATAAAAATACATTCAACGACACAAAACACAGAAAAATCTTGTTGTCATTCGAATACTCAAAAATAAGAAATGAGTAATGGACTGAAAAAAATTTGTTTTTCGAATTTTGACGAAGTTTGACGAATCACGAGTTTTGTTTCTTCTTCATTTTTTTCATTCAGTAGAAGTTCCTAAAGTAATTTATATTCCTTCATTTCATCAATTTCATCATCTACCCTAATTGATTTACAGTTTTTGTTATCCTACTAACTGCGCCAAATGAAATAATGATTTTTCATTATTCTGATGGAATGACATGTTGATTATTCTATTCTACTCGAGGTAAACAAGTGCATGTGTCTGATACCTAACAATGTATCCATAAGAATCATGTTCTGTCATGTATACATCAATTAAAGTGAAAAAACTGAATGTTGTTGAATGTACCAAAATAAGTGGTTGTGATATTACTGATCTTCTGACTATTTAGAGCCAAGAATGTAAACTGTTGAATGTTGGTTAAGGACTTCTAGCGTAGAATATTATGTATTTCTGTGATTTTTAAGAAAGTAAACAAATTTCACAATTGTTTGAATTTTATTTTACAATTGAGTCTCCTACCACCTATTATACAAATTTTTGGACTAATTTCTTATGAGTACAAGAATCTCATCAAAATATTCGAACAAAGAAGGCATTCGTTGAATATTTTGAAACCATTTATTTCTCGTCCTCTATATTAATGCATTAGGAATGCATGAAAACGAATAGAGCACACTTGAAGCTCAAATTCCACTATTTGTGTTTCCATATAAACTGTATCTAATAATGAGAAACATTCCATTTTGTTATAATGATAAATCATATAAGTACTTTGGTTTGGAGTTATCAACCTACAAAACTGTTGATCTTTACCAATATTGTCACTTTCTGGTAATCTATTGGAGCCCTTTAAATGAATTGTTGTTCGAATTCCATGAAGATTTTTTTTTAATTATTCAATAGTTCACCAGAAAATAATCACAAACTGGAACCGAAATCATCAATGGTCGAGAACCGATACATTGTTTCTTTTAGGTAACTCTCAAAAATTACTTTTATTATGACAAACAATATAAATATTTCTAATCAAATCTAGACTAGATTGGTTAAGATTTTTAGTGTTACTATCTTCATTCGTCGTAGTTTGGAACTGCATCCTAAAGTTTCGCCAGCACGAACGGCTGGCTTCTTCAGAGGTTTATCCATCTTGAAGATTCATCGATGACTTCAAACCCGAATAAAGATAGTTACACTGAAAATCTAGAGTCTTTAATGTGTTTTATACAGTGTATAGAAAACTAGCGATAGCGAACAATTTCTAAACAACAGAAAATGAAAAACAGTCGAAACTCTTTCCATAGTACCGAAGAGAAATCATAGTTATCTAGAATTTTCAAATAGGAGTCGAGTGAAACTTTGTTCTCAGACATTTCACGTACCTAGAAATATTTTTGTTGACTCTCCTGATTTCAGATCCACTTCACCTTCAACTTTAAATGAGTCGAATCAAGTGGCACTTTGAAGAATCGATTGATTTCTTTTATATCTATTATTCCCCCTGAAGCTGTCTATGGAGAAAAAATGGTTCAAAATCGGGACAAAATTGTGAATCCATCAAAATCACTTTATATGGTCGATATATAACTTTCCACTCACTATTTTAAGTTATACAGCAATCTATAATTTTCGGAGGTTGGACAGTGTTTTTTACATAAAAACAAATAATAATAATAATAAAATATAAGTCATGTAATACTAAAAAAGGTTCAGCTCTGAAATGGTTCAGGAGAAAAAAAATCACACAAGCTAACAAACAAATTTTTGGAATTGACTGAGCTTGAAACGATATACCACTCAACCTCCTTTTCGGTTTGAAATTTTTTTGGGGATGACTCCGAATAATGTAAAGCATTGTTTCGCTTTGGTTACATAGAAATCTACTTCGATTATCATCAATTCATTTTGTTGTTTAAAAGTTATCAGCTATTTCAAATTTCCAAAGTAGTATCCTGTATATTGATCAATTTGTGGAATATCAGCTTCAAGAAATATATCCTAGATTTTGTTGTCACTAACTACAGATATAATTATTCGTGCTATAACTAGATAACGAAGTTTTCCATAGGAAATCCCCAACTATGAAATCAATTTTTCTATTATAGACCCTTCTTCATCTCTGTCATAAACAATTTTCTAGATCTCAAGTATAGTATTGCACATTAATAATCTTACAACTACGTTTCAAAATGTTTTGTACATATACGTTCAATTCTTACTTGAAGACTTATCTACAAAGTATATCACAAAAAGTATTTTCAAATTTCAATAAAAGTTTTCAATCTCACTGATTGCCATCATTCCTGTGTACGTATATACAAAAATTTAACATCAAAACTAGCATATATTTACTTAAAAATACCCAAACCACACATTATTCAAGTACATTCATATATCTCGAACAAATCTGCATTCTTTTCTACAAAAAATGATTACCTAGTCATACTGACAGTTGTCCCGAGAAGGACAAGGATGACTAATATAAGTTAAAAATGTTATACCCCACTTTGCTCCTTGAAATTCAAAACTTATCTGTTTGAAAAAATACAAACTTCAAATTGTCTTTCATATCACTTCCCAATCATTACTTTCCCAATAAATCGAAAACAAATTTACTACAATCGTGGAAAAATGTGTTGGAAATAACTAACCAACATTGGAAAACGCAGAATGGTTCATGATACGCACTAGCCAGCTCGCTCACCAGACTGAATCCTTATAACTTTTTTCATGCGTCCTTAGGATATGCCAAATACCACTGAAGTCAATTCAGGAATTGAAACAAAACATATAAAAGTTTTTGCAAAAGTTCAGAAGCCATTCAAAATTCAGAATTTAATCTTCGACAATTCTTCAAACAACTGATTTTCTGAAAGAATTTTCATTTGTTTTTATGTTTTTCTAAATTTTTTGTTTCATTGAGGTATTTTTTGTTAAGTGATCAACATAATGTAACCTTCCTCAATGCTAGAAGTAATAGCAAAATATAAAAAATAATCTGCAAAATACCTAAAAATATAAGCAACCTCTAAAGTCGGATAATCTATTCAGCTGATAACATTTTCATTGCAACAAAAAAACGACATTGATTCATTTTCATTCAGAGATCACTAGAGAATTGAAATGTCTTGAAGTACCAGAGACAATCTGTACCCTAATTAGGTTGATAAAGAACTTCATACATCGATTTATAGTAATGTAGTAATCGATTTCTAGCAATCTCTCACTGTGAAATATCTTTCCAATGTTCTCACCAATTTGATGCTACCTACTACAGATTGATTCTGCAAGGAAATTACCAAGCCCACATTTGAAGATAATTGAATCCTCACTTGTTCACAATGTATAATACACCTAAGCCCACTGACTTTATAAAAACACATATAAAGTGGCATCAATCCAAAGAAAATGTTGAGGCTGAAACATCTTCTTTCATCTTTTTGAAAGCCTACTTTGAAATCAGTAAGTACTACTACTTTACGACTTTCTACAAGTACAACAAATGCTTCTTTTTCAAATTCTCATCACAATGAATACTTTGTAATAATTACATCACTCCTATTCCCTAGACATACAGCCAGTGCTTGGCTTTGAACCTATGGGATAACTTAGTTCTTCGAATTTCTTCATGCTCTTCCAATGGAGAAATACTCAATGCAAGTCTCTGAAATTCATAGAAACGAAATGAACATATATTGGATCGAATGCTGAATCTTTTCCATTTCTAATGGAAAAGATTTCGAAACTACTCTCAATATCATGAACTGTTTATTATTAGATCATCTTACCTCCCTACAAGAACCTTTCGTTTTAAGAATTTGAATGATCGCAAATAATGGAATCATGGAAATAGATGACAAAGTTAAAGCCCATCCCACCCATTCTGCCCATGGTGGATAGTTGTAGTCATTGTACTGGAGTTGTTGGTGGTGGAATAAACCAAACATCACTACGCACTGAAATAAAAAAAAAATTGCAGGAATTATAAATATCATGATTTCAAATGGAATTGGCTCGATATCAGGAGAAGTAAATAAATTATTGGAAAAGAAAGATTTTGTCTTTCTACTTCACCGTCTTGATACAAAAAATTGTGTACTTTTAAGGACAGGTAGCCATATTTCGTTTATGTTCATTACCTCTTCTTTCCTAGTAAAATTATTCCTGTGTTTTTGAAGGGAAATTCAGAAACACATGGATGATTTCAATAGAAAAGAAGAGACATTGAATATCAATAAAGTTTGACTGCCTGTTCTTAGAGGTTCAGATACTGAACGGGTTCCAACTCGGTGACAGAGTTGTAGTCACCTCGTTCAGAGTCGAAAACTATACCGAGTTCATCAGCTGCTCGAGCAGCTGCCCTAAGAAGAAATGCTCCAATTCCTGCTCTCTCATGGTCACGAACCATGCAGAGAAGGGGATCCGAACTCCTGACGACTTTACAGGCTGTATCCAGTACCATTCTGTCATGTAGACACTCCAAACTCAAAAGTCCACGACCTCCCTGTTGTCGGGGGAAGTACAACCGTGGAACGGACGATTTGGGATGCAAACTCCTATAGAGATGCATCATTTTTCGGGTCCTTACGTCGAGTTGATACAGCTCCTCCCGAGTCCACTTCACTACTCCNATGCCAACTCCACTTCAATAAATGACGTTTTTATCATGCAAAAAAGAGTTGTAAGAATTGTGGCCGGCGTTTCCTCCACGAACTCTGCTAGAGGACTGTTTGTTAAATATAACATATTGACATTATTTTCACTCTACATATATGAACTTTGTAATTATGTTCATGAAAATAAAACTAAATTCAACAGAAATGCAAACCTGCATGACGTTAACACTCGTCAAAAAAATCATTTTCACATTCCATTTTGCAAATATAAAATCACTTATAACTCACCTGATCATATGGGGCTGAGAATCTATAACAGACTACCCCACGATATAAAAAATGTCAATGAATGTAGGAAATTCAACAAGATACTGAAAAAATTTTTAATTGAAAAATGTTTTTATTCATTGGATGAATATTTTAATATGTAGTTGGTGATAAGCCTGTTACTGTCTAGCTTATCAATCTTTTTACTTTTTACTTTTTTACCTTTTGTTGTCCCGACTATTCCTATACATATTGTACTATGTCTTATGGAAAATAAATATTATTATTATTATTATTATTACACGTTTGAGGCAATATCCACTATCTTCAGTTCAAATAGGTACTCACAATAATGAAACAAGGACTGATGAATTTCCAACAAATTCTCCAATAGAGTCCTGGCGTGATCCCTAGCATTGCTTCAACATCTTGCGAAAATCTATCCAAACCTAAAAATTGAGAATGGGTAGAATTTTCAAAAATAATCTGAAGTTTTGATTACCGTAAAACCATGACACCGCAACAGATTCAAAAATTGCCGAACATAGTAAAGATATACCAGCAGAATATGTATCGAATAGATGAAACATGTAAATACCTCCCTAAAAAATAACACATTTTTAAATAATTCTTGTAGCAAACTGCAATCGCCCTGTATTATGAAAATTAATTACCGGAGTCACGTTGATAAGGGCAACACAAAACGAGCATATGATAATTCCCAGTGTGAAAATTTCTCTAGAGTACCTCCGGTTCCTGAAAAAACTGGAAAATTCATCCATGAGGCCGGTTATAACACATTCTAAACCTCCCATCTGAAAACAATAAAAGGGCATTGAAACAAGTATGTGAGAACTGAATAAGACAACTGATAGTGGAAAAAAATCTTAATAAAATTCAAAGTATGACAGGCAAGTTATATCTTTGATAAAAATTACAGATAATTTTTTTAAATGGTGGATTTTGAATGCCTCAATTTCCTTTCGATCATGAACGTGAGGTTTGAATTTTTCCCATGTTGAGTATGCAGAATGTGCCGCTCAAAACATCCAAATCTCTTTCCTGCCCTTCCATTATTGTGGCGCAGAAAAAGTGGAATTTGGTTGGAATAGTTGTTGAGGAACATTAAAGCTGATTAAGCAAGACATCTTAATGTCTATCTGAGTATTTGTTCCACAAATTTTCATTTGACATATTGGGAATGTATATTATTACCAATATACGGGCTCTTGGAGGTCTTTCCATGGTACCAAACTCTGGATGATGTAGGTCGTTCCTTCGAAATTATGTTTGAACAATTGCAATGAAGACTTCACGATAACTATTTGAAGTTCAGTAATGGTTGTTAGGTAAGTAGGTAAATTCCTCAAGGATATATTGTGGCACATACCTATTCAATCCAATTTGGTGAGTGATCTTTCAGGTCAGATATCAGGAGTGAAATTCTGCCAAACAGTCCGAGTACCTCCATATAATAATCCTGTCCGAGTAGGCTTTGTCAGGAGTCTGCAACTTTGGAGTCCGGGTATTCTTCGTTAGTCTGGCAAAGCCTAAAGCAATGCCAATATTAGGTTCTGGTCCGATGAAACCACTTCTTCCTTCAGTAGGAAGACCCAACATCAATTTGGTCTGAATACCTGACTATACTGGCTTCATGAAGCTTCCTTGCAAGGAGATCACTAGTCTTTTTGGGCAGTTTATTTCCAAATTGGATATTGCTCGGTTGAAATCAAGTGGTTTCAGAGCAGCCTGGATGTCCGATATTTTTATTGATCTATGTAGGAGGTCAATGTCTGCCAATTTATCCTTGAACTTATGAACTCATCATTAACGTGAATTACCGCTAGAATTACGGTCGCATAAATCTCTAATCAGGTTGATATCTCTGTCTTGGGTATTAGACTGAATATACCGTTATAAGATCGAATATATCTGCATTAGATCCTGAAGGTGTTTTCAATCTATCTCTGAACCAACCACCGTCTGCTCTTATCAGGTCATTCTTATAGAAAACTCAATCCTCTCAACTCGTGATTGAGGCTTGTTGAGATTTAGAGGCATGGCTAACACTTTCAGTGTTAGTCAGTTGTCTGCTACGCTCCAAAAAAACCTGATTTGGTAAGTGGCAATATACACAATTCTGAATGTTGGTCACATATCCCCTCTCTCCAGAAAGGTTGAGAGATCAGGTCTGGAAGGATTTCAATGACCTCTGACGATGCAGGGATGCAGGGGTACAAGATATATCCAGGTATACTTTAGAGCTCCGCTTGAACCGTTTGCTGAAATCTCCACGTATTCGTATCCAATATTCATGCCATAGATTATGCCTTAGCATCAGTCTGGCTCTGTGTGAAAGTTTCTCAAAGTGATCGTTCCAGATGAGTTTCTTATCAAGGATAATACTCAGATATTTCACATCTGCTCTAAATGAAAAAATTGGCATTGAGTCATTCACATAACTGGTGGAAGGAACTATCACAGATTTGCTGGGGTTTAGAAACAGGATCGATTTCGAAAACCGACAAATTCTCCATCTCGGTAAAGTATTTGTGTTGACTTGTTTGCGATCTGAGGAATGCCACTGCTAATTGGAAAAGGATGAGCTTCGCTTGAAGACGTTGAAACTAGCAAATATGGATATTTCGGTACTAGTAATGACTAATTTGCAGAGAGAACCCTGAATCCTTTTTTTGTGGATAGGCCAATAGACGTATCTTATGAATGCAGCAAATTATGCTTCAAACCACTTAACACCAAGTATTTCACAAGTAGTTTCAGTATTTCTTCTCGTTGGCATTGGCAAAATAATTCTATTCAGACGGAGTCCCCTGGTGTTGTTTAAATGGATTTGAAAGTTTCTACTGGGCCTATTGGCAACTGCAGTGATCATTTCCTCATAACTGGGAGTATAAACACTCGAGAGTGTCAGATATAGTGGTTTTTGAAAAAGGATGAACCACCCGAATTAATCTCCTCCCGGATATTCAATTTGGTAGTTGTTTCACCGTATAAGCGCAATCATGCACTTTTATTTATGGCTAACCTAGAAATCAGCTCAACAAAACTTTTTGTTGCACAATATTCAATCATTTTGTTCATCTTTTTTGTCGAATAGATGAATGTATTTCGGAAAATCATGGGTTCAAAGATCATTTGAAATATATTTCAATTTTGGCAGTAGAGTTTCAGTTTTGTTTAGTCATACTTATCATAATATAATAAACGTTAATGACATATAATATGAAGAATAATGAATACTTACAGCCGAATCGACTCCCAACATTATCAACATAAAAAAAAACAATATCGACCACAGTTGGGATCCTGGCAAAGTTGCCACTGCTTCAGGATATACTTGGAAAACAAGCCCCGGCCCTAAAAAATATGCAGGTCAGTTCCTGTTTTCAATTCCTCTTCCACCAATAAAGCAACTGGTGGAAATTTCTGTTTTTATACCTTCAGTTGCCACCGAACTGATATGAACACCTTGTTTGTATGACATATAACCCAAATAGGTGAATATAACGAATCCGGAGAAAAAGCTTGTGAAACAATTGATTATCGTTGTGATGATGCAATCTCTGAAAGAACCGGATTAGATGAAGTCGAGCAGTACACACTGAATTACCTATAACAGTTATTGTGAAAAGTATTATAACTGGCATATGAGAGATGCACGCCGAATCCAGCTCCAACTGAATAAAATATTTGAACGGCAGCATCCATCCACACCTGAAATATAATGATAATAATTAAGTGGTAAAGTGAGTCTTTCCAAAATAGATAATGAAGTTACAGCGATGATACCTCTCCTCAGAAACACGTCATCTATGAAATCGATTAAAAAAACTCGATCTGCGAAAAACAAAAACAAAGGAGGCTTCTTGATGTGGACTGTGTGGCAAAGACAAGATTCGACTAAATTCATCTTTTGAAGCTTACAGTAGTCCAGCAATCCAGCCTCACACGACTGATGAATCTGCAGTGGAAGAAAAAAAACAAATATCGTTTGCTGAACGATGATGAAGCGTGCATCGGATCGCTTTAGGGAATCTCGTTTTTCTTTCATATTATTGTAGTAAGTCATCCATAGATGACCTAAAACATCGCCTTCACTTTCTAAGCCTAGTTTCTTAACCACAGTTGGGTTCGGCAACACATTTGTAATTTAGCTCAGCACCACTGATGATGTGACCTATGATGGGTCGAAACCGTGCTGTTTGGTTTTGGATCTCGATTGCTTCTTTTTTTGGGCTCTGGTGTCATCTAGTGTTTTGCAATGGAATCAGCAATGGAAAACTAGAAATTAATCTCGTTCAGCAGTTGATTCTTTGAATGGACCACCTTGGAGGGCCTCAATAATCTTTGATATTCGTGAATTGAATTTTCTGTGACACTATAGATGGTATCTTCGTGAGAGGAGATATAATCGCCTTTACTTCCTCTGGCCTGTTCTTTGAGGACTGTTGAGTCCAGAAGTGCAACATCACTGATTTGACCTTGGCTGTTCAAAACTGCGTTGTTTGGTCATGATATTTCGTTTTTTAGCTCTGTTTTCATACCTGATATCAAGGGCCATGACAATTGAAAGTGGGAAAGACGAAAAGTTTAAAAGTAGTGGTACTTTCTTGTGATAGAACATTCAGACATGAGTCCACCCGAAATGAGTTCCGTCCACAAAAATTTTTTAAATCAATCGATTTAAAAAATATTCCATTACACAGCGAGAAAAGACACAGTCAATTAATGATATCAAAATAATAATCAACCCCAGGAATAGACACACCAATAATTGTTCATTTTTTGCCAAGAAGCAACTGATACTCAAAATTGTAAAATGTTTCTTCGTACAATACTTGTGAGGAGAAAAATGTGTCTCCATACGGAAACCGCGGAGGATTCTTTGTACTCATGCAAACTGAATAAGACCATAGGTCTTGATTGAAGGTATTCAATGTATTCAACTCCACAAGTTACAAAACAAGGAGGAGTCTGATGTACGAACTGAAAACCAAAAATTATAAAGAACCTAGAATACATTCCAGACAGAAGTACATGCAATCTTACGATGCATAAGGAATATCAATCTGCTGTTTCACGAAGTGAGTTTATCAATATTCTCACAGTAGGAGGGACGTCAAGAAAGGTCTGGAATTGTACTGAATAACGGAAGGAACATGAATAGATTGACTACTGGCTGACACAATTATCTGCATTTAGAACAATTTATCTGCTGATGAGTGTGCTTATGAGACCAAACAGACAGTTGACTAAGTTTTTGAATTTCATCAATTCTCTCCATCCTTCTATCCCATTTACAATGAAGGTGGAAAAGGACGACTCTATAATTTTTTTTGGCTTGGCAATAACGAAAGTTAACAACAAACATGATTTTTCAATTCATTCTAAACCGGCACATACAGATATTGTCATTCATAATTCGTCCACCCACCCGTATCAGCACAAAGAAGCAGCTTTCAACAGTATGATCAACAGACTGATAAATGTGCGTCAGAGGCGAATTTCAATGAAGAACTGAAAATACTAAAACAAATAGCCCTCAACAATGATTTAGATAGCAGTCTAATACATTCTGTATCATCAACAGATTTATACAGCCAAGCTTTGAAGAAAGTTTACTCAATTCGAAGAGAAGGGGGTTATAGAACCTTAACCTACTTTGGCCAACCCACTACAAATGTTTCAGATTTTCTGCACAACAGATGTGTAAATATTGGTTTCAAAGCCAACAACAACTTAGGCATGCACATTAGGAATAACAAAGATAAAAGTTCAGTTTGAGAAAAATCGGAAGTGTATATATTATCATGTGGGTCATGTCCGATGTTTTATATAGGTCGAACTGGAAAAACGTTCAAAGCCCGCATAAAGGATTACAAAAATAGTTTCCAGAATGGAAAAATAAATTCCACATATGTCACTCATTCAATCACAGAGGGACATGAGTTCAACCATGAATACAAGTCCCTCCATTTCCAGAAGAAGCGTTTAAAACTCAACCTGTTGGAGAGCATGGAAATAAACAAATCCAAAAACTCTCAATATCTCATGAACGATCAAACTGAATTGAATAATTCATCCTCATTGAATCTGTTAGTTTCCAGGTAAAAATAGTTAGATTTACGGTACTTTCGAAAAATGTATGAATTCATACCTGACCTTACAGGTAGAATAATTCATTGTATAGCGAAACATGTGTCGCGGTTTTTGTAAAACTCTTT